CAGCTAATTTTTTTTTTATTTTTAGTAGAGATGGGTTTTCATCATGTTGGCCAGGCTGGTCTCGAACTCCTGACCTCAGGTGATCCACCAGCCTCGGCCTCTCAAAGTGCAGGGATTACAGGCGTGAGCCACTGCACCCGGCCATGTGGTGCTTTTTTCCCCACTCCTTAATTATACCATTTGTCCATTTATCCTAGTGCATTTTATGTAAGTTTTTAAATTTTTTATTTTTGGGGGGCATATAGTAGGAGTATATATTTGTGGGGTACATGTTTTGATACAGGCATGCAATGTGAAATAATCACATCATGGAGAATGGGGTATCCATCCCCTCAAGCATTTATGCTTTGTGTTAGAAACAATCCAAATACTCTAGTGCATTTTAACCTGCTATTGATGGTCGTTTCTCTAATTTATTGAGGTAATTTGAATTTTGATCTTCTATCTACTTGGCAGACCCATCTTCTTGGGGACATATGTAATGTTTATAAAGACACTCCTTCTACTATCCAGACCCATATCTCAATACCCTTCTCTGCCAATATATAGTGAAGGTTGAAAGAAAGATAAGAAATAAAGCCCCCAAAACCCCAGGTTACGAAAGCCTGCTATAGCTGTATTGGCCACAGTTTTGTAAACTGAACTTGCAATGATGTTTCTTAAATGACAACCACAATTGCTATCAACAGAAACTGAGTGCCTACCACATGTAGAAACAGTATGCATGATGCATTGGCCCCGATCTTGAGAGGTTTAGTCTAGATGGGGAGGTAATTAGACAATGCACATACTCTGTTTGGTAGGAGAATTTTCCACCCATCTTCCCAATGGAGTAAGAGAGAACAAAATGTGGGAACACAGGAATTATCTCCTCTCCCCTGTTCTCTTATGGCTATGTTCACAAGGAAGAAGGAGCTATTAACCTGATTGGTCAAAGCCCAGGCAAAAGGAAAAGATTTTTTATTATTATTACTATTTTTTTTTCGGAGATGGAGTCTTGCTCTGTCACCAGGCTGGAGTCCAGTGGTGCAATCTTGGCTCACTGCATCCTCCGCCTCCTGGGTTCAAGCGATTCTCCTGCCTCAGCCTACGGAGTAGCTGGGACTACAGGCGTGCGCCACCACATCCAGTTAATTTTTTGTATTTTTAGTAGAGACAGGGTTTCACCATGTTGGCCAGGATTGTCCTGATCTCTTGACCTCGTGATCTGCCTGCCTTGGCCTCTCAAAGTGTTGGGATTACAGGCGTGAGCCACTGTGCCTGGCTGATTTTTTTTTTTTTTTTGGGGGGGGGATGGAGTCTCACGCCATCACCCAGGCTGGAGTGCAGTGGCGCAATCTTGGCTCACTGCATCCTCCGCCTCCTGGGTTCAAGCGATTCTCCTGCCTCAGCCTACAGAGTAGCTGGGACTACAGGCGTGCGCCACCACATCCAGTTAATTTTTTGTATTTTTAGTAGAGACAGGGTTTCACCATGTTGGCCAGGATTGTCCTGATCTTTGGCAGACCCATCTTCTTGGGGACATATGTAATGTTTATAAAGACACTCCTTCTACTATCCAGACCCATATCTCAATACCCTTCTCTGCCAATATATAGTGAAGGTTGAAAGAAAGATAAGAAATAAAGCCCCCAAAACCCCAGGTTACGAAAGCCTGCTATAGCTGTATTGGCCACAGTTTTGTAAACTGAACTTGCAATGATGTTTCTTAAATGACAACCACAATTGCTATCAACAGAAACTGAGTGCCTACCACATGTAGAAACAGTATGCATGATGCATTGGCCCCGATCTTGAGAGGTTTAGTCTAGATGGGGAGGTAATTAGACAATGCACATACTCTGTTTGGTAGGAGAATTTTCCACCCATCTTCCCAATGGAGTAAGAGAGAACAAAATGTGGGAACACAGGAATTATCTCCTCTCCCCTGTTCTCTTATGGCTATGTTCACAAGGAAGAAGGAGCTATTAACCTGATTGGTCAAAGCCCAGGCAAAAGGAAAAGATTTTTTATTATTATTACTATTTTTTTTTCGGAGATGGAGTCTTGCTCTGTCACCAGGCTGGAGTCCAGTGGTGCAATCTTGGCTCACTGCATCCTCCGCCTCCTGGGTTCAAGCGATTCTCCTGCCTCAGCCTACAGAGTAGCTGGGACTACAGGCGCTTGCCACCATGCCCAGCTAATGTTTTCTTTTTTTGTATTTTTAGCAGAGATGGGTTTTCATCATGTTAGCCAGGACGGTCTCGATCTCCTGACCTCGTGATCTGCTCACCTCGGCCTCCCAAAGTGCTGGGATTACAGGTGTGAGCCACCATGCCCGGTCCTTTTTTTTTTTTTTTTTTTTTTTTTTTTAAATTTTTTTTATTTTTGAGACGGCGTCTTGCTCTGTTGCCTAGGCTGGAGTGCAGTGGTGCAATCTCAGCTCACTACAACCTCTGCCTCCTGGGTTCAAGTGATCCTCGTGCCTCAGCCTCCTGAGTAGCTGGGATCACAGGCACACGCCACCATGCTCGGCTAGTTTTTTTGCATTTTTAATAGAGACAGGGTTTCTCCATGTTGGCCAGGCTGGTCTCTAACTCCTGACCTAAAGTGATCCACCCACCTCGACCTCCCAAAGTGCTGGTATTAGAGGCGTGAGCCACTGTGCCCAGCCATCTATTCTCCTTTCAATCCTCCTAAAATACCCCCAGTTTCTCCCCAGTTCCATCTACCTCTACATGACCATGTGCTTGCAGGAAGGGAGTCTAACCCCCAGCTCCAAGGAATGAACCATAATGAAATTAAGCCATTCATGAGTTTCCTTTTCTTTGCTGGTAACTGGCTTAGACGTGGGCATATGAAACTGGAAAGTTGGCTTGAGGGCTTCTGAGAAAAGTTTTCCTTGCAAGATTAGAAAAAGAGACACACAGGAAGAAACAGTCTCTCTGCCTCTGCTGGACATTGTGTGTATGTATACATTAGCCGGAATTGTGGCAGCCATTTGGTAGCCATGAGGGGCACTAGCCCGAGGCTATCAGAGTGAATATGGAAAGAGCCTGGGTCACCGATGATGAGGCGGGCAGATCACTTGAGGTCAGGAGTTAGAGACCAGCCTGGCCAACATGGCGAAACACCGCCTCTACTAAAAATTAAAAAAATTAGCAGGGTGTGATGGCACATTCCTGTAATCCCAGCTACTCGGGAGGCTGAGGCAAGAGAGTCAATTGAACTTGCAAGGTGGAGGTTGCAGTGAGCCAAGATTGCGCCACTGCACTCCAGTCTGAACAACAGAGTGAGACTCCGCCTCCAAAAAAAAAAAAAAAACAAAAAAGGAATCCTAACCTACCTACCTCCAGGTTTCTTGTTATATGAGATAATTCATTTTCCTTTTTGTTTAAGACAGTTGCGCCTGGAGTGGAGGGGAAAATAATGAGTTTAGCCTAGTGACATTGAGGTGATGGCAGAACAGCATCCTTTTAAATCCTAAAGCTCAGGGAACATCAAGGTTAAATTTGAACTTGGGAGTCACCTATGGAGAAATATTCCATAAAGTCATAATCTTAGAAAGCAGACCCGTACCTGGAAAAGCTGCCTCTGTGCCTGAGGAATTCCAGTGACATAAGAGAACATTGCACCCACATGTGTAGTCATTTCCTAACTGGATATGCTATTGTCCCAGGTCTTTGTGTCCCATCTGGAGAAGGGGAGGTCACAGAGGTGGTAGTGAGCTCCTGGTGAAAGAGTTCAGAGAAAGTGATTACAACATCTGGATCCCATCCTCAGATTGTGCTCTCCTCAAGCCTGGCTTTTATGGACCTTGATAGCCATTTGCAGTTAACTTAAACATTCTAGTCTAGTGTGGATAGCTTTGAAAATGGGTTATAAGTAACTTTTGAATTCACTGACTCATATCTTTTAATTACCATCCCAGAAAATCAAGGTTCTGATCATCTTATAGACATCCTATGGGTGATACTGTAGAAGCCTTAAAGGAAGCATCACATTCTATGGGTCATACTGTAGAAGCCTTAAAGGAAGCATCACATTCTATGGGTGATACTGTAGAAGCCAGGGTCAAAAAATATATAACATGAAATATCAAGGAAAAGGCCAACGTAGAACACAGAGGTTCTAGTGCCCAAGCTTAGGAAGTGTTAAACAAAAATTATGGGAGGGCCATTGTTTTGGACTGAGCTTTTGCACTAGACCACAACAGACCAGAACAAACCAAATTGAGTCCCTCCTGCTAAATGCCACATAATCAAACTTGACATACATCCCACAACAGAGCAGTTTTTCCTGAAAACAGGAGATTTCAGTTTACCTGAGTCAGAATAAGGAAGTCCCCTCTGCTTTAACCCTTACCAAAAAAGTAACCCAAAGTAGCCTGATGTTAAGCAATCAGCTCTTCTTCCATTGTTCTGTTTCCTTGCTCCCCTCTTTTAAAACCCATTCTTCCCCCATTGCCCAGAGGAAGCTCTCATTCTGTTTTGTGGAATGGAGGCTACCTTAATTCATGAATCTCAAAAGCCAATTCAATCTATAACTAAATTTGTAATTTTGTCTTTTGCCATAAGATAGTTTTGAAAGTCACTAATCCATAGGGCACTACTGTTACTTTAAGAAAATACATTCATAGGAGGGGGGAGGAGATATTTTGCAACATCAAAAAGTTTACTTAAGATTACTTGAAAATTTATTTTTGAAATTCCAGTATACAGAACTTTCCTACAGGCTCATCTTAGTGAGTAAATGCACACACCTGTACAATATTTACAGTGAAGCCTGTCTTCCCTGAGACAACTTACCCCATTTCTAAGTTGCCATTGCTGGGTCTACCTTGAAACTACTCTTGCTTCCCTAAGCCAAAAAAGACATATTTTAATGAACTGAAAGAGCAAATGCAGTCTCCAAAGATGGGTAACTTCAGTCCTGCAGTTATTTAGACAGGAAAATCTGGCTTCAAACACTATTGTCTGCAGGCAGGGTTTGCAATTGGCCACCAAGGACAGTGTTTAAAGATGACTCAGTTGTATGGCCTGGGGAGAGCCGCAGCGGTGAAGGGAGACCAGCCAGTGGTCCTTCTAACTGAAAAGGATGCTAGGTCAGTTTTTTATGACTTCGAGGCTATGAAGGCTCAGACCTGCTGCAACCTAGGAGTGGGTGTCCAGTGTAATAAAATGAGACCCCAAGAAATGCACCTTCAAATTATCTGAATGAGAGGTGGGTAAGACTCAACTTCTCCCTCTCCTACATTCTCCCCAACCCCCGTGGGGCTTACAGGCTAGGATTTCGGCACAGAAATCCCTCTTCTTCCATGGCTTTAGGGTCCAATTGGGGACCTAGCCGTGTGACCTTCCCCAGGCCCCAGAATCTCCTTTGGGACGTCCCCGAGGCCCTCCCTGTCTGGGGCTCAGCAGGCGTCCGTCTGTGTAACCAGCCTCCGAGCGCTCGGGATCGCCAAAGAGACGCATCCGCCGCCCACTGCGCATCGCTGGCCGGTCAGCTCGGAAACCCTCCGAGCCGCACCGGG